TGCCGAGCTCTCGCCACCCCCCGCCGCCCCGAAGCCCGAGCCGGACCCCTGGGAGCTGCAGAAGGAGGAGGCAGCTTGGAGCCAGCCTTGCCTGCTTGCGCCTGACGGGGATGGGGACGGGCTGTCCGAGAGCTCCCTGAGCACCGTGGAGCTGGGCAGTGCCAGGAAGCGGAAAGGTAGGTGCCCAGCCAGGCACCCGGGCTCCTCCTTCCCCTCGGCCTCCCGCCCAGATGTCTGCTGCTGCGATTCCGTGCTTTGGGGCCAGCAGTGTCTGGCGACCTCTCCTCCCGCTGGAGCCAGTGCCAGGGAGCGCCAGTGCCTCCCCCTGCTGCCCGGCCACCTCTCCCAGGCCAGGCCCAGCGGCCCACAGGGCAGGCGGCTCCAGGTGACTGGGGCCTGCTACGCCGTGTCGCCCAAGACAGCCGGTCACCGCCTCGCCTGCCCTCGGCCCAAGTGTCCACCACCTGACCCCACAGGGTCTTGGTCCCAGGGTACCCGCCAGGGTGGTCTCCCCAGCCCCAGGTCCCCCTCCTGCTGGTGATGGTCCCCTCCTCACGCGTGTCCCCTTCCCACACAGGCGCCTGTACTCACTTGGCGTGACCCTCACCCCGGGAGGTGACCAAGGTGGCCCCCGGCTGAGCTCTCCGGTCCTAGTCTGGAGACCCTCTGAGCTCACCGGGCTGCTGAATCCCCCGAGGGCACAGGGCAGCCCCACCTGAGGGACTGAGATGCCCACCAACGGGCTCCAGGGCTGGCTGCTTTCCTGAACCTGCCCTGGAGGTCTGAATGCCCTGGACCATCCCCGCCTGTTTTGTTTGTTTGTTTGTTTTTTCCAGTTTTTTATTTCTTTGAGACAGAGTCTGGCTTTGTAGTTCAGGCTGGCCTTGAACTCAGAGGGATCCTCCTGCTTCAGCCTCCTAATCGCTGGGGTTACAGGTGTGCAACCCCATGCCTGGCTTCCGCCTGGGTTTTGCTTCTCCCCTGCTGTTCTCCTATGACCCTCGCCTGCCTCTGGGACCAGGGAGGAGTTAAAAGAAAGAGGAAGCGAGGAGAAAGGAGGAACTTCCCAGAAAGGGTTCCAGTCCTTGGCCTGCCTGTCCTCTGGGGGGCTTTCCGCAGGGCCCTGACCTCCTCGGCCTATCCTGCTTAGCCCCAGCGGGCCTCGCTTCTGGTGCCCTCTGGTGCCCCCTGGCGCGGGCCCTGGTGTGAGCACCCAGGCCTGCACTGCCTGGGCAAGAGAGAAGCAGCCCTGGAGCTGAGCTGAGCAGAGCAGAGGGTGGGGCACCCTGCTCTGCCTTCCTCCTGGTCCTCTCCCCCACATCTGGGCCAGCTCCTGGGGGGCTGGTGGCCCCAGCACCTGTTTCCCCCTCCCAGACACTGGCACTTGGGAGGAAGTTCAGCTGGGCATCCTGGCACAGGCCTGTCATCCCAGCACTTGGAGGCCGAGGAAGGAGGGTCGCTGTGCTTCAGAGCTGCCTGGGCTACATCATGAGTTCAAGACCAGTTTGAACTGCATAGCCAAGGGCCGGGGATTTGGCTCAGTGGTTCCACCGCCTGCCTGGCAAGTGCAAGGTCCTGAGCTTGATCCCCGGCACTAAAAGAAAAGAAAGAAAAGTAAACTGTGTAGCGAGACCCTGTCTCAAAACATTTTTTTTTCATTCCAGTGTTTTCCGAGAGCTTTGCACTTGGACCTGCTATGAGACGTCTGTGCTGTAGTTGCCCAGATAGTTTTCATGTTGCACAAAAAATTTTTTTCAAAACAGATCATACTGGGAAGAACTCTGTGAAGTCTGCTCTCCTTTTTAAACTTAGTTTTTCATGATTTACAAACTGCCTGTATCTTCTGCCATAGCCAGGACAGAAATCAGAGGACGCCTGTGTGTTTGGAATGTTTCTGGTTGGAAGTTTACAGGTTGTGGGCCGGGGGTTTGACTCAGTGGTGCCGCCGCCTGCCTTGAAAGCGCAAGGGCCCTGAGTTCAATCCCTGGTACCAAAAAGAAAAGAAATTTACAGATTGTGACATCCAACACAGGAACTTGATTCCCAGATTTAGGTCAACTTTTTAACAAGTGGGAAGAAACACCAAGCTCCTGCTTTGTAGCTCAGGCTGGCCTCGACCTCACAGCAATTCTCCTGCCTCAGCCTCCCAAATACTGGGGTAACAGGCATGTGCCACTTCGCCCGGAGGGTGTGTTTTGCAAGAGCGTTGGAAAGTTTGGGGGGAAACTGGAAAGTGAAGACCTTGCCAGTGTGTTGCACGGTGACTTGTGTGCGTGCATGCGTGTGAGGCTGGGGGTAACGGAAGTGCTTCCAGTCTCTCTCTCTCACTCTGGTTTTGCTCTTACCTCCACGCACGCATGCCCTCCAACCTCAGAGGACTGCTCTGCCCTCCAGAGTTAAGCCCTGCACAGTAAGTCACTCTGTCTTCTGCGTCCGCTCCACACCAGCTGGCTGTGAGGAAGCAGCTCTCCGAGCTGGCGCTTCGGCCTCCTGCCCCTCTCCACCTCTCCAGCCTGGCCTTCCCCGACCCTGCCTGCTTCTCCGCTCCGCGCTCCTAGATCTGCCTGGCTTAGCAGGTGCCTTGGCCCTGCCTGAGGGGGTGCTGCCTTGTGCCTGCTGCTCCTTGGGCCCTTGCTGTTGGAGCCCTGAGCTCCAGTGTCCAGGCTGCTCTGGGCAGTGTTGGTGTGAGACGGCACAGACACAAATAGGAACCACCTTGGAAACACTTGAGCTGGAGCTATGATGGAAAATCATCGCTCTTTAATTCCTTTGTGTAGACTTCAGCCTTCTTGTGACAGTTTTATTCCAATGCTACAATTAGGGAAAGGGCCAGGTGTGGTGGTGCACGCCTGTGATCCCAGCACTCAGGAGGCTGAAGCAGGAGCATTGCCGAGAGTTTGAGGCCAGCCTGGGCTACACAGTGAGTTCAAGGCCAGCCTGAGCTAAAACGGAGACCCTGTCTCCAAAACACGGGGAATCAGGGAAAGACTTTTATGTGTGTGTAGTACTGGAGATCGAACTCGGGACCTTGCGCTTGCCAGGCAGGCGCAGAACCACTGAGCCAAATCCCCGGCAGAAAGACTATCTCTTCTCCTTTCCTCCTGCTTAAGGATATGGATCACTTGCCTGGGGTCTCACCTAACTGCTCTGCGAATTGTTGCCATCTTCAGTCACTGTATGGTGCTACTCTGGAGCTGGCGGCTGGCTCCTGTAGCATTTTTCTAAAAGTTTTGTTTAGTGACTGCACCTGTGGTGGGATGCATGCGGCCTCGTACGTCACGTACAGAAGTCGGGAGTCGGGGTTTCTGCCTCCTCCCCAGGCCTGGCGAGCATTCCACACCTCTCTCATTCTCCATGGAACATACAGTAGCCACTGCAAACTCTGGTCACCCACTGTGGGGTCAGGACTCAGGCCCTCTGTCTGTTCCATTCCTGTCCCCTTCCAAGCTGTGGGTGACCTGAAGTGCATCTCTGGTTGGTTGGTTGGTTGGTTGGTTTCTGAGACAGGATCTCACTATGCTGCTCAAGGTGGCTTTGAATTCACAGAGATCCTCCTGTCTCAGCCTCCAAGAGCTGGGATGATAGGCATGTGTCACCAGGCTGCATTGTGAAGAGCCCTGCAGGCTGCGGCTGTTGGCAAGGCCTTGCTCTTGCTTCTGCCCAAGTGCAGTGCCGGCCTCAGCTGTGCAGTGGCCTCAGCTGCTGATGCTCAGGCGGAATGAGGCTCCGCTCTGTGACCCAGCAGACGAGCAACCAGGGCACCACGTTTCCCGGGGCAGGGGGCCTCCCGAAAGCTGCTGAGGAACTGCTCATTCGGAGGTGGGGTCTGAAGTCTGTGGTGCAGGCTGGAGACCCTGGCAGGCCTGTCTGCCATCTTGCAGCAGAGTGCCTGTGCCTGATGAGGGCAGGCCCACCACGACCTGTGGCAGGCATTGAGCACAGATCGCCTTCGCGGTGGCACCTGGCCCAGCGTCTGAGTGCCTGGGTACTGTGGCCAGCCTGACTAAAAGCTCACAGTGACGGCCGTCCCTGCCCTGGGTGGGCAGACAGGTGACACTGCAGGGTTAGGGTCACCCACAGCAGCCGGGCCTCAGGCCCGCCGGTCAGTGTCCTGGCACAAGTAGCCCTGCACCGTGCTTGGCACCGGCGGCACCATTGTTAAGCAGGGGCTGAAGCCCAGGCCGCCACTCACCTAGTGGGTACAGGGCCGGGGGCTTCACCCTCAGCGCCCCAGGAAAGAAGTTACTGTGCACCCTTGAGTTACAACCAGCCTGACATGAACAGTTTGGGTTATGACTGGAAGTTTAGTTTTATGGCAAAAGTCTTGAGTTGCACTGTTAGTGCTTCCTGATGGTCTCAGAACAGATGTAACCCTTACAGCTCTGGGAGGAGCAGAACCGCATCCTGTCCTGTGTGGACTCACTGAGAAGTCCCGGGCCAGCGTCTCTCTAGGGACACAGACCTGCTGCGTGCAGGAGGGAGACTCTGAAGGCCGTGCAGAGGAGCCTCAGCCTCGACTGACCAGCTTGAGTTACACCAGCCCTTGGGAATGAATTGGGGTTGTAAGTCGAGGCCCACTGTACTCAGGAGAGAGTGGCTTCCTCTCGAGCTAGTTCTCCCTGCTGCTCCCGTGGTGGGCGCCCCGCCCACCATACCCTGGCTGCCCAGTCCGCCAGGCCCTGCCTAAGCCGGCCTCACGGCACCCTAACCCTGGGAGCCAGAGGCCTGCAGGGAGACTGGGGGGACGTGCGACCCTCCGTGTCCGGCGCTGACCCTGGGCTGTGAAATGGAACAGAGCGTGAGTCACTCTGCCTTCGTGGGCACTCGGAAGAGCAGAGCTCTATCTTGGCTCCCAGTTTCCAGGGTGTTCGGGCCCTGCCAAGGCCTGGCGGAGGTGAGGAGAGGAGAGCTGCTCACCCGGGCAGCCAGGGGGCCGAGAACACGCCCTTCGGGTCACCCAACCAGGGGCGCCAGGAAGTGACGCCTGCCCGCCTCACCCTGGCCCTGGCTACTGTTCTGGGGCTGTGGCAAAGCACCACGAACCCAAGGCTTTAAGCAGCAGGCTGAGGCCAGGCATGGTGGCTCTCACCCCTAATCCCAGCACTGGGGCCGAGGTGGGAGGAGAGCAGTTTATCGAGGCCCTGTCTCAGAACAGAATTTCTTAGGAAAGGAGCTGGAAGGGGGCTCAGCCCCGGTGATGCTCAGAGCGTGTTTCTCTCTTCCCGTCTGCGTGGTATTCGGAGCCGTGAGGTTTGCGGCAGAGCCTGGCTGTTCTGCAGCCGTCCTCACAGGGCCTGTCCGGGTCCTCCGTACCCCTCTCGTGTCTGATCCCAGTCCCTCCCTTTGTAAGGAGTCTGCCTCTTGGACCTGGCGTCCTCCTGCTCCTGAACTCCCGCTCCGCATGAGGTGCTTTCTGAGCTCAGCGAGTGCCCTGCTGCTCCCTCCTGGGCCTCCATCCCCCTGGGGTGAGTGGGGTTCCCTCCCCTTCTGCAAGCAAGGGAGCCCCATGTCATAAGCTCTCGGGGAGCACTGAGCAGAGGCCTGAGCATCCCCCATCTCCCACCCTCAGCCGTCTCCAAGCGGGGTTCCTGTGCCTGGGGCCCCAGCCCTGTGTCCCGCTGTGCACCCGCTCCAGCCAGTCCTGGCCAAGTCTATGGAGGGACACTTGGCTGTCCTCATGCTGGGCTGGTGATTTTTCATGATCTGCCTTCCAGGGATATGAATGACCCCAGGAACTAAGACTCATTCCCATGCTGGCACACGCCAGGCCCGCTGCTGGGTCCCACGTCACCTCTGACAGGCGTGTGCTGTCACATGGTTCCCGAGAGGCTCTGACCAGATGAATTCAGCCCGTTCCTGAGAAGTCTGCAGCTTCTTCACAGCTGCCAGAGAGAACCACCAGGCTGGGGATGAAGCTCAGCTCCCGTCTGCCACATAAACGGTGGTGGATTTTACAGGCTGGCTCCAAGTCCGCCCTCACCCCCTGGGCCTTGGGCATAGGACCTTCACTTCTCTCTGGAGAAGCAATACCGTGGCTTGGACCTAATCTTGAGAAACTATTGCTGTTGATTTTTTTGTTTTTTTTTGGTACCAGGGATCCTTTGGTACCAGGGATCAAACTTGGGACCTAAGCTTGTGAGGCAGGTGGCAGAACCACTGAGCTGGATCCCTGGCCCTGCTGTTGATATTTAAAAAAAAAAAACCCTTTTCTGAGACAGGGTCCCTTTAATTCAGGCTGGCGAATGGCCAGCCTGATCTCAGCACTCAAGAGGCTTTCAGCAACCCTCCTGCTTCAGCCTCCTGAGTGCTGGGATTACAGGTGTGCACTGCCCCACACGGCGATTCCTCGTGGAATTAGTGCTGCTGCGGCTGTTTTTCCTATTCCGTATTCTGCCACCTGACCTTCTATACAGACAGGGCAAATTGTATGAAATCCGGGTCCTTTCCTTCTCTCCTCCATTGCTTTTCTTTTTTCTTTGTTTCCCTTCCTCCCTCCTTTCTGGCCGTGTGGGGACTAAACCCAGGGCCTCTTGCGTACTGGACAAGCACTCGTCCCCAAGCTATACCACAGCCCGAAATTGAGGCTTCGTAGGTTGACAACAGTCACATTTCCTATGGCTAGCATGTATACACACACGCACACACACACGAGATCTGGAATTATTACAAAACACCTTTCAGTCCCAAAATAACAACTGTTAACTTGATTTCCTGAGAAAGCAAGCACCATTGTTCTCATGGTCCCTCTCTTGGCTTGGGGTGCGGGGTCTGCCCTGCCCAGGAAAGGATGGGGCAGAGGTGCCCGAACATCTGGCTGGTGGGAAAGGCCGCCACAGATGCCTCCAGCGCCAGGCTCTCCCTGAAGCTGGCTTCCTCCCCTGCTCCTCCCTGTCCTCCCCTCCCTGGCGCTGTGAGGCCCAGCTCCCTCCTCCGCCCCTAGCCCTCTGACCTCGCTGTCCTCCTCTTGCAGGAGGGATCCTCAGGAAAGGCGCCAAGCTGTTCTTCACCCAGCGGCACCAGCAGAAGGACCCCGGCATGAGCCAGTCCCACAACGACCTGCTGTTCCTGCAGCAGCCCGAGGGGCCCCGCCGGAAGGGCAGGACCCTCACCCGCATCCTGAACAAGAAGCTGCTCTCCTGGCCGAAGGGCAGGGACGCCGTGAATGGTGTGTCTGGGGAGCCCTGCACGTAACGCGCGTGGCCACTCCTTCCTCAGGAAGCCAGAGGACGGGACCGCGACAAGCCCTACCTAGGCAGCGGTGCCAGCGGCTGCCCCACACCTGCCTTCTTGCTCTAGGCTTTGGGAGGAAAAAAGCAGCCGGCATCTTCAGCTTCGCCCAAAGAGGGCTGACAGCCCTGTCATTCTGTGCCAGGGGCCCCCCAGGACCTGCCACGCTCCAGCCTGGCATGAGGCTCTTCTGGTATTGGGGCTGTGTCGGGCGGGGCTGGAATGGCTGGCACGTCCACAGTGCCCCCAGCAGGGCGCCAGCTCCACACCTGACCGTGTGGGAGGAGCCAGTGTCCCTGTGCTGTCCCGGCACAGCGTGGGTGGGACGTGGTCCTGGGCCTCTGCAGGGACTAAAACGTGCACCCGGCCAGGAGGACAGTGGAGGGATTTCTCATAGACACAAATCATGACAGGAATGGAAAGAAAGGAGGGCGTCCGCCTTTGAAGTTAGCTGTATCCCTTGGCCGGGCGTGAATCCGGAGTCCTGTGCATCTGTCCCACGCCTCCACGTGGACCCGAGCCACCTTGCCGCTGGAGATGTACGGGCCACATGGATCTACACTGTCTCCCACGTCAAGCTCAGGATGCCCGTGGCACTGGACACAGGAAGTTTGCCTGGCACAGGAGGTCAGGGCAGCGATCACCGGGTTTCCGGACTCGCACGTGTGGATCTTGTCAACATCGGCCCGGGGCTGCGGAGGAAGTGAACTGTGTCCCCGGGTCAGCCTTCGGAACGGAAGCTTATTAACCCACGGGCCGACTCACAGGCCTTTTGGGGGCGCTCCTGCATTCTGCTGTGCACAGTGCTCCTAGCCGCATTTTGGGGTGTCCTTAAGTAGGAGCACAGTTTTATGTCCCTCAGTACAGTCAACTGCTTTCCCAGCCCCACGGCCAGTGCTGTCCAGTCCTTTCCCAGCAAGCACTGAGCTCTAGGCCCCTTGACCAGCCATCCCTGCCCCATGGCCGAGCAGGTTGCAGGGCAACTGTCCCGGGCGATGTAGGAGCCTCTCGTAGATTCAGCTTTGCGGGCTTGGGGGCGCTGGGGGGAAGCCTGGCTCCCAGCACAGGTCGGGCCCGTTTGTGCACCCGTTATACGCCTTCCCGGGAAGCAGCCACCACGCAGCAGACAGCTGCAGGAAAGCCCAGATTATAGCAGTTGTGTTTCCTGTTGGAGGGAGAGATTCAAAAACGGCACTAGAAATTTCACTTTCAAATTCACGTTAAGCAGTTCTTAGGTGTTCCTAGAGTTACCAAGTGACAACGACGACTTTCGAACCACTGTTTTTGAAAAGGTTCTTTCTAAAGTTAATCATCGTAAGGTTCCCAAGCCCACCGCCTCACTGAGCCAGTGCCCCAGTCACAGACCGCTCCTTGCCTCTGAGGGGCGGCGGTCACCTTCAGCTTTCCTCTGGCAGAACTCGTGACATACAGCAGACTATTTTTCTTTTCTTTTTCAGTGCTGGGATTGAACCCACAGCCTTGCACATGCCAAGCAAGTGCTGTACCACTGAGCTACACTCCTAGCCCCTTTTTAAAATTTTTAGTTTGAGTCAGAGTCTGAGTTTTCCAGGCTGGCCTTGAACATGGCAATACGCCTGCCTCAGCCTCCTGAGTGGCTGGGGTTACTACGGGTACCATCTCACCGATCTTACAAGGCTTGACCCCAAGGAGGCACAATGTGTCGGAATTTACACCCTGATCATAGTACGGAGTGAGTTTTTCTTTCTCCAAAATGTCTGGAGACCAGAAGTGTTTCAAATTTCAAAGTTCTCCTGACTTGCGAATGAATATGTGAACAGACTTTTCCGCTTGATCACCCTCTAATCTGAACATCCACGGTGCTCAGACATCAGACTTTGAGCACCCTCGTGCTCAGAGGCTTCTGACTTCAGCTTTCACACCAGGGGTGCCCCTTTGACACAGTTTCTGTGGTTCGGTGTAGCAGTTCGGTGGCTGTCTCCGGTGCGCCTGCGTGTGAACTCGAGGTTACACGCCCCTCTCGAGAGCTGTTTCAGCCATCCTTACTGCAGTGACCTATGCCCTCCCGCAAGTGGCCTTTTGAGAACACCACTGTGGAACAGGGTGCCAGACACTGGCGAGCGAAGGCGGCCTCGGGGCCTCTGAGAACATGGGCTGCGTGGAAACTGAAGCCCCACTCCCAGCCGCCCCCAGGCCTTCCATGGTGTAAGGGGCTTGTGTCACAGTGCTTGTCACTGACGGTAAACGTGGGTCATGTGACACGGGGTACACTGACAACGCCACTGGGTGGGTCACCTGCCACAAGTTTTAGTGGCTTCAGGGCTTTTGTGTTATTTTTTTTTTTTTTTTT